CTCTCATACTCGTACATTCAATGTACTGATGCCAGTTGTCCTGCATCTTATTATGATGCAGACATAGGTAACCAGGATCAACATCCAGCGCGCCGTTGATCCAGTTGAGCACTCCAGAGTTAGTGGTAAGCCTCCTTGCATTCCGGAGGACTCTGTTATTTTGCTTTCCTAGTTTTGCTTTATTAGGATGCTGTGGGGTCTGTCCCAACATCTATCTCAGTATTATAGAGGCTTCATAGACAGTCAAACAGTTAGTATTGAGTCTCTCATCTATGTATTTGCAGATACTTTGTTTTGAGACATAAGTTGCCATTTTGGCTAAGATGTTATCATTTAAACTATTGCATTGAGTTTATTCTGTTGAGTTAAGTCTTCCGCTGAGTTAAGTAAGTTAGGCCAAGGGTCCGCTTGGGGCCATCAATGGTCTCCGAGTGCCGGCCACGTCCAGGGTGTAGGCTCGGGGAGTGACAAAAATATCAATACAATAAATGGTAAATTTACTCAAATAATTGATAGTCTAATGCATTTGATATTGAATTCTACTAGACAATGTACTTATAGCTATGAATTTAATAATCATAGCTATAACCTAATAATAGCCAAAAAATATATATATTCATATCTATTTATAAATTCGTAAAAAATTTCTGCCCTATTCACCCCTTAAATTATTATGCGAGGGTCTTATAACCCTACCCTCATCTCCTTTCGAACTTAATTGTCAAGATTATATTGATTTTTATATTTAACACTAGATGGTATGGCCCGTGTCAATATGGGCCCAACAAATTGTATTTTCAACTTGTGGTTGCTTTACATAGTCATTGAGTGAGACCTTCAAGACATAAAAGCTAAAACTACATCATTTTTGCCAGCAGAACTCATATACATGAATTTGTCCTACATGAGTGTCTTCAAAAGTTGCATATTTTGAAGTGCACATGTCAAAGCTACCTTGGTATATTTTGAAATGCACATATCAAAACTACCTTGGTAATTTATCAACGTAGGTTCTTTCATATCCTTATAAAATTTTCATGGCTCAATCATTTCTCAGCTCTATTTCCAAAAAGATGGTATATCATCTTTGCTTGTACAATTTGTTTATGCATTAAAGGAAGTATATAAACTACATATTTGAGAGCAAACAAATCAATCTCCACAATGAATTACACTTTTCCTTTCTGCATTTTATACTATAAATTAACTAAATTTCCACGGTTGATTGCAAGACAATAAGACTCTTGACTGTATTGTCACATCTTGCAATCCTAGCTATTGTTGTTTTGATATACCACAAAGAGCAATTTTATAACTTGCCACTCTAGAACTATTATTTGATACGCTGCCTACTTTGCCTCCTTCTGCCAACTCAAAATCAATTAAAGAAAATACTTAAGAAGAAGATAAATGATAAAGCAATCAAAATTATTTGTTGCTTTGGCACACCTTGATATAGTGAACCTTAAAAATATTTGTCACTTTATAGGTCTTCAACATGCAACACACAGAGAGGAATTGATGCATGTATTAAAGAGGAGGCAGATTTCAACAGGTAATTTCAAGTTCATTTGTGTAAAAGAGAATCGAACTTTGTGCAGTTTTCTTATGTTCCTTCGGAACTTTCCAAATCTTGATAATTATATACAAAATATCAGTTGTATGTTTCTCTTTTGATCCAACAGTTCTGACATGTAGCAATATATGTGAATTTCATTTCAGCTCCAACTTCTAGAGTGGGAACCTGCAAGTTTCTTTCACATTCCTTAACTTCCTTGGATGATATTGATGAGCAAAGAATAGATAAATTAAAATTGTACATTCGATGGAGAATAAAATGAAGAAACTGACCAGAATTGCAAGACAAACTGAAACAAAGATGATCATAGAGAAATTTCCAGATGCTTTGTTGCAGTGATACAAATAAAAACCAATGGGCAAGTACTGGTGTTAGGAAAAAGTCAATTTTATTTCTTGTCGTCATTCAATAAATTACCAAAAAGGATTTAATAAAGCAACAATACATGTACACATATGCAAAAGTCAAATTAGAACCAGAAAAGAACACACTGCAATATTGCAGCATTATGCAGAAACACATAATAAGCCATTGCATTTTATTTAATGTGTGACCATCTCATATAATTAAAGTCTAAGCTGTCAGAGAGACACGTTTGATTACTTAATTATGCTTCAAAACGTGACTCATCTGCGAATCTTTTTCATGGTCCAAGTTCGGGGAAATTGTTTTTTGATAATAATGGGTGACGGGGAGACAGGACCTCTTGTTTACTAATTCTAATAGCATGTTGTAATATTTATATCGATTATTTGTTTGATCGGGATGGACCAAAAGTTCATATTGTTCCGTTAATTCTAGGAAAAACTACGTAATCACACATACTTTACTATCATATATACATATTTTATCTCTAGTTTAAAAATACTACACACAATACCATTTTAAAAAAAATAAGTATACCATATATTTTAAAAAGTTATATTAGGTACACAATTTCTTAAAATATAATCTCCTTAATTAATGAGACATTAAAAATTCAAATTTTATTTTCTCTCACCTCACATCAATCGTTTCCCTCCCTATTCCCATTAACCGGATGTATCTCTCCACACCCTAATCAGAATGGCTGAATTACGCCAGACTTTACTTAACAGAGACCAAATACACATATGAACCCAGATACACGGGTAGTTCAGATGTATCTCACTCGATTCTAGGTGTCTATTATGTTTTGAATTTGTTGATGAAATGGAGTTTTTGTATAAGTAGATTGAGTTTGGAAGATTATGTAACTTATTTTCACTGTTTATGATTTGAGTATTTGTAAAGAGAAGTCAGATGTATCTCGGTCAATTTGTAGACATCTATTGTGGTTTCGAATTAGTTGATGAATTTGTAGGCGTCTATATGTTAATTTCCCATAATTTACTCTACTAATTAAGGCATTAAGCTACAACATTTAATTCAAAAAAAATTAAATCACGTATCTCGGACTTATACATCCGACTGATACACATATCTAATGTAATTCGACACATGTATCCAACAATCGAAAATGGTACAACACGTAATATCAAAAATTATCGGGATTCCTAGTAATTAGGATCTAAACTACTGATTTATGTAGTTTACCCTTAATTCTATTGATTTCCCCTAACTTGGGGAACCAAAATAGATTTTTTCTTATTTAATTAAAGGTTAAATATGTAAAATCAAAATAGCATATACTGTTACTTATGAACCTAAATCACTATATTTCAAATTTTCCTTCTAAAAAATAACTGACTACAAAAATTAGTGTCAACCATTCATTAACATCATATTCCTCTCGTCCATACACACTTGACACTTCTACTGCAGCAAAATAAAATTTGGGTATATTTTTCATAGCTCTTCATACCCAATGGATAATATAGGTAAGCATATTTACCC